TCTATTCACAGAGCTGCAGAATCTTTTACAATAACAGCTGACAAGATGAGCTGTTCCGACCTCCATACAGCAACCAATATAATCAAAGACTCACTTTGGGAAACTTGATTCTAACATTTCTCTTACAGAGACAAGTTAACTGTATAGCTACATAGGCTGTAGAAAGATGAAACGGGCCATTTAATCAAAAATATAAAAACGCCATTGCAATTAAATTGGGTCCAAAATCCATGCTGGATAGCCTTTTATTAATGCAGAATTTTCAAATTCCAAATAGCCTACTGTATTTTTTTTCTGGGGGAAGCAAATTGCAGATTTGATCTGTTACCATTATTCCTTCAGGTGGATCCTGCTTTTTTCCCATCATTCAAGGGCCCTTTATTTTTTTACTCGAAGAGTATTTGGGCCCACTTAACTATAAATGGCTTTATGATCTATGTCATATTTTAATGTGGTCAATTCATTTAGCTATATATTGTTAGAAGAGTCGGTTCATAAAAGTAGAAGTGAATATAGCCTACTGTACACACTACTTGCAGTCAATGGTGAAAGGAGAAAGCTATATTGTAAAAACCGAAGTGTACAAGGTAAAGTAATGCAATCAAATCACACTCAAGTGAAAGAACTCTATTACCATTGAAATATAATTAAATTAACAGATGTGAAATCATTCATTATGGGGAATGGCCTATTTCAGCATAAGAAAAGTGACAATAGATTTGAAATGCATTTAGTGAAGTAAAAGGTACAACATTTCCCTCTGAAATGTAGTGTAGTTAAAAAGAAGCATAACATGGAAATACTCAATTGAAGATACAATGTACTTTCCACCGCTCATGGCAGTCAACATGCTTTTTTACAATTGGAAAAACTGCCCTAAATGGTCGGTTATTTTCGCAGCGAGTGAGTGATGATAATAAATGAAACGTTATGTGGCGCTATCGCCTCACTCTGCTGCTGCGCCATCACCACTGCACTTGTTCGGCAGGACGGAGAAACTACCGACACACACACAGACAGACTGCTGCTGCTGCTGCTGCTGCTGAGGGACGACATGTGGCTTCGAGACGAGATTTTAAAATCCATATGGCACGCCTTCACGGCCCTGGACGTGGATCAACGTGGAAAAGTGTCCAAGTCTCAGTTGAAGGTGTGTTTCAGTTCTGTTTTTTACTTTTGGTGAATAGAAACCCAAACTATCTGTGAACTGTGTAACGTTTCTTTAGGTAAGTAAGATACATAAGACCTTCACATCATACCATAAGTATCCTACACTTTTTTGCGATTTTTAAAGGAACTTTACTTAGCAAACAGTGTATATTTATGTTATGCTAATTAGCTATTTCAGGGGAACATATTGAACTTTGTAACCTATCAATGCATTGAGCTGTTTTGCAGACTTTTAAATAACAAGCTAAATTATAATAAACTATGATATTGTCTATAGTTAAAGATGAACTTAGACAATACCATTGCTAAGTTCAACCCTATTGTCTAGTTCAGCTTCCCCTTGGCCATATATACATTTAAATAGTGCTTCAACATTACTATGCCAGTAGTAATAGTACATTTTTTAAACACATGCAATAATACTAAACTTCAAACTGCTGTGAACCCTTCGTGGTTGCTTTGTAAGTGGACACCCTTGTATTGCAACATTGCCACTTTTAATTAATACAGTAAACAAGTGAATTATACAATCTTTATGTATTTCACTATACTGCAGAAAGGCCAGTATATTGGCCTTGTCAGATTTGATTATTTATCCTACCTTATTCACATGTCCTTATATACAGGGATTTTTTAAGATTGAAGAACAATTCACATAATAAACCCCTTTGAAACATATACAGGCTGTTCGACTGAATTTAATAGACAGAGTTTGATGTCAATGTCGAGATTGACAAAAACATTTCCCTATTACTTAAGATGTTTTTTCTGGTCTTCATATTATTGTGATGACCAGTATAAAGATGATTGTCCACCATCTATCTACTGCCACAGATTGAGAGAGAACAGAGGAGACTCTAAGTAGAGTATTTTAGAATCTAGTTTTGATCCTTGTTGATACAAAGTTACAGGGCATGAGTCACTTCTGGGTAAAAGTGTAAAAAAGTTCAATTTTAAGGGAAGCAGTAACGCTTGGCTAGCGATGCTTGTAACTGTCAGCAAAGGTTTTTGCATGTACAGTATGATAGCAAAACTTGAAAACTGTGAGACTGATCATCAGCTCTTTGACTTACAAACATATGTTCATTTGGAAAGAATGTATAACTGCATATTTATGTCTCTTGATGACATGTATTTCCCCTTACCTGCAGTGTCTAATTCCCATTTAAATTGTGTTTATTTAGGTGCTGTCCCACAGCCTGTGCACAGTGATGAAGATCCCTCATGACCCTGTGGCCCTTGAAGAGCATTTCAAAGATGACGATAAAGGGCCGCTGTCCAACCAAGGCTACATGCCTTACCTCAACAGGTTTATCCTCGACAAGGTGGGGACAACAATGCTGAAGCAGTTGCAGAATAAAGGGAGAGTCTAAAATCCAGTCAATCAACTTTCATTTGCAATTATGAGAACCAGGGCAGGGATTGTTTATATTTTATGCTAGTACCATTCATATATCTTAGTTTTGGTAACGATAGCAAAACTGTATTTATTTGTTTACACCTCTCCTGTCTATTTGTGTAGGTGCTCAACAATCTAGCAATCTAAACATGTTTACAATACAAATGTAACACTAGCGTAATGCATTCACAAACATTTGCCCCATTTCCTGAAAGAACAAGATTGATATCAATGAACTGAGAAAATGTCCTTCCTAGATGACTCAAGTGAAAATAGGCAATTGTTCCTCAGTTGCACTTAGCTCATCCATAGGTTCCTAATCAGAATTTAAATTCCTTTATTTGTCCCGCAATGGGCCTATTTACATTATTACAACAGCAGAAGTGAGGAGAATAGACTCACATATTAAAAAATATAAAATAACTAAGTTTACTTACATAATTAAAAATAAAAGAACACAATAAGTAAATAACTAATAGCAGATATCATACAATGGTAAACAATAAGCAGTATATTTGTTTTGTTTTAAAGTCACCATACAACATTAAAGAGGTAGCTGGTACTGTGTGCCAATTGTAAATACATTGAGAGAAACAAATAAATGAACAGGAATTGCAGGAGGGTATATTCCACAAAGTGTTATATTTACAGACAGTTTGATCAGGGGTTTTGCAGTCGTGTGTGTGTGTGCGTGTGTGTGTGTGTGTGTGGTGTGTGTGTGTGGGGGGGGGGGTCTACCAGGGGCCGTGGTGGTTGTACAGCTGTATGTATAAACTGTATATAAACATAATCAAATTTGAGTCCAAAAGGGATGATGTAGCCCTAGTAGTGGTACCAAACCTCTCACTTACACTGTTGAACTTTGCCATGGAAGGCGTTTAAACTTTTTAAAGAAAGAATCAGACAGTTACATAAATAGTAACAGTAGTATAAAATAAAACACTCTTCTTCTCTGTTGAAGAGTGCATGACACAGATTAGTATGACTAATCATGACCTGTTTTGCTCTGTGGTAGAGGAAATGGTAACAACCACTTCTCTTCTGTGCCAACAGGAAGAATGTGCTTTTTCTATTATTTATTCTTTGGTAGTACAAAAAACGAGTACATACAATGGGCTACATCCTTATACACTCTTTGCAAAAGGGGGGGTAGATTTGTTCTCCCTGTAGCTATGCGAACTCTGTGCAATAACACATCTGATAAAGTCTCATGTCAGTCAGTAACTGCTTGAGTTTCACTCTTTGTACTTGGAAGCTGTTTTCTTGCCTTTTTCTTGAGGGCTCTGACTTGAATCAAAATGAGGCATTTAATTACATCAGGTTTGTACCTCCCATCCTGCAGAATGGAGGTTCTGAAAGGAGACTAACACCAGTCTCCTGCTTAGCATTTGTAAACACGCTGCCTTCACTGGTGCTGCCACCCCGTCTGACTGACTGAATGGTGTGTTTTCATTCTCAGGTGCAGGAGGAATTTGATGTACTTGAATTCAACAAGATGTGCTGGACACTGTGTTACAAGAAAAATATCTCCACTAAACACCTACTCATCTCAGATGACGATGCTTTCAAAGTCTGGTGCATTTTCAACTTTCTGTCAGAAGACAAATACCCACTGGTCATGATTACTGAGGAGGTGAGGGAGAATCCTTGTTTTCTGTGGGATTTCTTTCCTGCACGTTAATAATGAAGCAAAGACACTTTAACCTCCCCTTCTCCATACATGGTTCAAGTTATTTTGTCTCCTTAGATTGAGTGCTTCCTTCGAAAGCTGATGGAGGCCATGGGGAGTGGATGGAGTGAGGAGAAGTTTTGCGATTACAAGCTGCAGTTGCACTCAAAGAATAACCGCCTGAGTGCCTGGGAGCTGATCGAGCTGCTGGGGCTGGGTCACTTCACTCAGGGCATGACCCGGCAGACTCTCTCCATGGGCATCGGGGAGGTCTTCCAGGAGCTCATACTGGATGTGCTCAAGCAGGTTGGACAGGACATTCATCTAATTTATTATGTGTAACCCACACACACTTACATTTGTTCTGCTTTGTTCACAAAGTAGAAAGAAACCCAGATATTTAAATAAATTACTGTATTCCTATAGAATACCTTTTTTTTTGGAAATAAAGATAAAAATCAGTCAAGTATTATTTGGTTGAACAGAAACACAAGTGTACATGAAGATTTCGCTTGTTCTGTTTTTTCTTAAAGTTCCTTAAAACTCTAAAGTTGTACAGTTATGACAACAATATATGTGCTATATATATTGCAACAATCTCCTCACATCCTTTGTAGTATTAATGATAACGTAAACACAATCAAACACATTCATAACCTAAATGCACAAATATTCAATGTATTTATTAAAAATAACTCGACTCTAATTCTGCAGTATAGAACTATATGATACATCTACTGTATACTTGTACATATATTCCATGTGTTTTCTCAATGATCAGTTATTTGCTTTATGAATGATCAAGGTGGCATTACTTGTTTTGTTTATATGTCACAGTGATTATGTCAGCGTGAATCAGGTGTCTCTGTTAACGGCTAAACTGTGTTTGGAAGGGATACATGATGAAAAAGGGTCACAAAAGGAAGAACTGGACCGAGCGGTGGTTTGTCCTTCGACCCAACTCACTGTCATACTACGTCTGTGAAGACCTTGTGGAGAAGAAAGGAGACATCATTCTGGACCCAACCTGCTGTGTGGAGGTGTGTTGATACCCTTTTCTAGTAAATAACATATCATATGGAAGTAATGCTGTTAAGTAGGAGAGGTTCTAAGGGTGTCATTTACTGTACACACTGTAACGCCACTCAAGACAAATGTGTTATTTGTAATTTCATATTATTTTGGGCTATATAAATCAAATTGGATTGATGATTGATGGAGGGTGTATTGATTAAAAATATTTGAAGTGACATTATAACTGATATTTACTGACGGATAGTGATATAGATCAGAAATAGATTAAGCATTGTTGAATTGTTCCTACATGGTTTTGTGTATTTAGTATGGTGGGACTGAAGTGGTGTTTTCTCTGTCCTGCAGTCTCTCCCGGATAAAGAAGGGAAGAAATGCATGTTCATTATCAAGTGCACTGATAAAAGCTTCGAGATCAGCGCCTCAGACAAAAAGAAAAAGCAGGAATGGCTTCAAGGTAAGAGTCCTGTCATCATTGTCTCTTTATTTTCTTCATCATTGACTCTAAATGTCATCGTTGACTCAACAGTGCATCCATATCTTCCTCTTGTGGCAGCTATTCAGACATGCCTTCAGCTGCTGAGGTTGGGGCTGCCGTCCCCTCACCGCGAGGCCCGGCTGAGGCGCAGGGAGCTCCGGCAGAGGCAGCAGACGGAGGAAGACGACCTGGCGGAGAGGATGAAGCATCTGCAGGCGGCCAATGAGAACAAACAGAGACAGCTGGAGGGAATGAGGAAGGTACTGCTCCCTGCTCAGCCCTTCAAACCTGAACCCTGACTGATAAGGAGGCTGCCACACCTCGTCGTGTCCAGTTACCATTGGCACAGCTCTAATGTTAAAAACCAGAATGTGTCAAGTCGTGTTGGCCCCAGGGAAAACTTTTTTCTAGATATAAAGTCAGGTGTATTTATATATAGCACGTCAGCCATGAACAAAAGGTCAAAATCAGTAGAAAATCAGTTCAAACAAGTAAATGACATTATATTGTATATAATATATAACAGTGCAATCCAACAAGACTACAAACTAACTTAACATTTTTCAAACTATTTGATGTTAATCTAGGTAGTTCTGTTAGTTTTGTGAGTTTGTAGTCCACTTCCCTTTATTTGAGCATATTGTTGTGTGAAATCAATCCCAGCCGACAGCCAAAAAACCCAGACATCATGCAGCAGATTATTCAGAAAGAAAGGGGAAGTAAAACCTGATATGCAAATGAAATGATATGTCCGTCCCAGACACCTGCAGTGAGTGCGCAGCTGCAGCAGTTTATTGATGGCTTCCCACTTCTGTTTTTTCTGCCAGATGGCTCTTCAAATGTCAAACCCTCTTTTTTCTATGAAAAGCCAATTACTGATCATGTCACATAAGGTTTTTGAATACATTGATCTTCTTCACACTGAACTACAGATTACTTTTGAGTTCAACCAACCTAATACTCTTTATAAATATCTCCAATAAAGAGAAGTAACAGTTCTTTCCTCTTTTTCTGGCTTGACAGAAAATGGAAGAGGCTGCAGCCACAGCAGCAGAAGAAGAGCACAGGAGGAAGCAGACGCAGTTAGACCTGCAGGATCGTTACAGACTGGACCTGAAGAGAGAGAAAATGGTAACCACGGTGTCTGAATCTGACTCCACAAACATGGTCTTAAAACTAAACAGAGAAAAGTCTGGTAAACTAAGACTGTCTAGTCACCCGTCTGTGGTTCTGTTCTTTAAGGAAACACTCAAGAGACTTAACAGACAAATGCCTTTTTATAATAAAAAACACAATTGTTGGCTTGGATTGCATCATAGGAGAAACAATTGGTGAGTGTAAAAAAAAAATAAAAATATACAGCCACAGTAGAGCATCACATTTGAAGATGACACTATTGATTTTATTGATATGAGCTGTATCCGTTGGCGGAAAAGGACGTTTTTTAAGCTCTCAAACAATGAGATTCCTTGATTGTCTCTATTTTGTAACAAATAATGTGACAAAACAAGCAGTTTAAATACATCACATTGGAATCTGAGAAACTGTGTGTGAATGTGTGTGTTGCCTCTTAGGTGCGTCAGCAGATGGAGGAGCAGGTGGCTCAGAAGTCCAGTGAGCTGGAGCAGTACCTGCTGCGCGTCCGCGAGCTGGAGGACATGTACCGCCGCCTGGAGGAGGCCTTAGAGGACGAGAAGCAGGCCAAGCAGGACGAGGAGGCCATGCACAAGCTGCAGGCCAGGTGAAGGATACTTGCATTGTTCCTCCTGCCTGTGAGAAATGCTCAGTGAGCGGCACATGCTACTATTGTCCTGCTAAAGTGAACACAAGCAGAACTGATTTGAAGTGAATGTGATTGTCTGTTCTCTGCCTGTAAGGAACTTTCAAACTGTTTTGGATTTTTTTCTATTGTTCCTTTTATGGCTCAAGCTCCCCATTTCCCTTTTTTTTAAGAATGGGGCTGAATTTGTTTATAACTATGCTATTCAACCCTAATGAAATGTAAGCATCATTGCTGTGTTCACCCCCACAGTCTGCTGGAGGAGGAGGCAGCGAAGCGGGCCGAGCTGGAGCGTTTCCACCGGCAGCAGCAGAGGGCGCTGTCGCAGACGGAGGCGGAGAAGCAGGAGCTGGTGGCCGAGCAGCGGCTCAAAGAGAGAGAGCTGCAGGCGGCCATGCTGCAGCTGGAGAAGCTGGAGAGGGAGCGGCTCGGGGCGCTGGAGCAGTACCAGGTCAGCTCCCACAGGTGGAGGGTAGTAACTGACCCTCGGCATCAAACATAGATATATTCCTTATTAATAATTCCATTAAGCAGAATGCAATATTCTTTCTCGCCAACAAGTATGTTTGTATTTTACTTCAGATTTGTTTTATTTATTTGATTGAGGCTTGAAGATTCTTATAAATGTTGTTCAGTTTATGGAACAATAAAATAAGCTTGAGCTAACAGAACCACAGTCAGTCTGTTATGAGGATTACAAGTATAAGAATTAAGGTTTTTATTAAGGTATTATTTGAAGATTATTGATACACATTTTTCAAGATGATCTGCCTTTATTAAATCAGGATCATATAAATACATATGAGCAAACAACATGTGGGAAATGATGTGAAATATGACACCAGAATGGATTATTTCAACTTTTTTAATTAACATGTCATGTTCTAATTTATTTGATCTAACTTCCTCCTTATGTAATACAGGAGGTGTCGATGAAGCTTGAACGAGCAACTAACAAGACAAAGACTTGGAAGGACAAGGTGGCCAAACATGAGGGTCTGGTGCGTCTCATCCAGCCAGGTATGAACATCAGTTGTAAAATAAATCAGCATAAGACAGGTGTATTTCACCGACATTTAGCTCTGTGCATCAAGTTCATGGAAACGGGGCTTTCTGTGCTCCTCCCAGGGTCCTATGAAAGATAATAGGTGCCCACTGCTCCTAATACTATGATGGGTTAAAGCCAGAGTCTGCATTTCACTGTGTGTGCTGTGCTTTGTTCATGTGTGACAATAATAGCAGGCAGTAGCTCAGTCTGTGGAGCTGCCCTAATTAAGGATTTTTGAATATCAGGAAAATATGCTAAAATATTCAGTTTTTTGTAATGTCTTTCATAATAAATATTAGTTTGTACTGCATGTAGGCTTATCTTTAATATTCAACCTGCTATGAGTTCAAAGAAACTAAATACTTGATTCAAATACAGCAGTCCCTTGTGCCTACAGATTAAAAATTGTTTGATAAGAAAGGTTTGCAAAGTTTCAACAACCAACACAACGAAAAGCATCATGAGGAATCTTTCTGCAAGTTCATCTTTTTAAAACACCTCCCCTCCTTGTTTGCGATCTGATTTCTTAGGTCATAAAGGTCCTCAGAGGATCACTAACTGGGGTCCGGCTTCATTCACTGACGTTGAGCTGGAGCTGAGGAAGAAGTCGTGGCAGGAGAGGAAGAACCAGGGCGCTCCGGCTCAGTGAACACACCTCACTGAGGAGGACAGTCTAGGTCTTACTGAGCCATCTGCAGCGTTAAACGTTTTACTGATATGATTTGGCCTACTTTCTTCTGTAACAAAAAATCTCATCAAGCAATTGTAGGAAGCAGTTCTCTAAAATAATCTGATCATGAGATGCAATTGAAATAGCAGAAAAATACAACTAATAAGTGAATATTTAGTTATTATTTTATGAAGAAATACATCCAGTTTCTTAGTTTGTGCTTTCTGACTTCCTGTGTTTTAATTCATTTTACTGACATGTAATAGAGTACAGCAGTAGATTAATATGTGTATTGCTTTGTCACATTTAAACTTGTATGAAAAACATATAATAAAACACCACTTTTTTTTTCAAAAGTGTATGACTAATTCCATTTCAGAGGTCCCAGTATTTCATAGTTTGAGAAGCTGTTAAGACTCTTAAATGTGTCAAAATGCAGCAAGTTCTTTCTGTTTTGGAGGTATCGAGCCTGCTTTCATTCATCATGACTCGTCTACATTTCGATCATGACAAAGAGTGTCCACTAGATGTCACCATATGAACGGTATCATCAGTAAGACAAACCCCAAAATACTGACATTCAGTCTTCTGTTGTTTAAGTGCCTGAATAAGTGTAAGGTGGATACTTATAAGATGTGTTTAAAGAGCCATAGTGTGTCTTCTTCACCAGTGAGTGATGAAGGTGGCTTCTGTCATGTTGTCCAGATGTTATAAGGTGGATGTGTTTTTCCCTCGTCTGGTCGGTGTTATTCTGAACAAGTTCATCTCCAAACACCTTGCCTACCATGTTTATTCCTACTCAGGACGTACATTTTGAAGAAAACCCGCCAAAAAACCCACATTGTTTCACTTTTTGCAAAGCAGCTGGACTTTGTTTGAGTTTTTCTATTCTTTTTCATATTGGGTTTTTGCAGGATTATACAACATTTGTATCTAATACAATTAAAGCTTTTATTGTGTGCCATCAAGGAACAAAGGCAAGGCAAGGCAAGTTTATTTATATAGCACCTTTCAATACAAGGCAATTCAAAGTGCTTTACAAAAAATAAAAGACATTAAGAAAATGGCATTTAAAATCATTAAAAAGAAAAGATAATAAAATAAACATTAAAAGAAAAAATACATGGATAACAGTTACAGTGCAGTTTAAGATGTGAATAGTTCAATTAAAAGCAGCTGCAAAAATAAAAGTCTTCAGCCTGGATTTAAAAGTAGTAAGAATTGCAGTGGACCTGCAGCTTTCTGGGAGTTTGTTCCAGATATTTGGAGCATAATAACTGAACGCTGCTTTTCCATGTTTAGTTCTGACTCTGGGGACAGAAAGCTGACCAGTCCCTGAAGACCTGAGAGATCTGGATGGTTCATAATTTAGCAGGAGGTCAGAAATGTATTTTGGGCCTAAACCATTCAGTGCTTTATAAACCAGCAGCAGTATTTTGAAATATATTCTTTGACACACAGGAAGCCAGTGTAAAGACTTCAGAACAGGAGTGTTGTGATACACTTTATTAGTGTTGGTAAGGACTCGAGCAGCAGCGTTCTGAATTAGCTGCAGCTTTCTAATAGATTTTTTTAGTGAGACTTGTAAAGACACCATTACAGTAGTCCAGTCTACTGAAGATAAAAGCATGCACACGTTTTTCCAAATCCTGCTGTGACATTAGTCTTTTAATCCTAGATATATTCTTTAGGTTCTTTAGATTCTTTAGGTCTGTTGTTTAGTAGACAGACTTAGTAACTGTTTTAAAGTGACTGTTGAAACTCAGGTCAGAGTCCATGACTACACCTAGATTTCTGGCTTTATCTGTTGTTTTGAACATTGCAGACTGAAGCTCAGCGCTAACTTTTATACGTTCTGCCTTGGCTCCAAAAACCATTACCTCAGTTTTATCTTTGTTTAATTGGAAAAAGTTCTGACACATGCAGTCATTGATTTGTTCAATGCACTTACTCAGTGTTTGAATTGGAGCATAGTCTCCTGGTGAAATGGTTACGTAAATTTGTGTGTCATCTGCATAGCTATGGTAACTTATTTTGTTGTTTTTCATTATCTGAGCCAGTGGTAGCATGTAGATGTTAAAGAGAAGAGGCCCCAAGATGGAGCCTTGAGGTACCCCACATGTCATATTTGTCAACTCAGATGTGTATTTACCTATAGAAACAAAGTTGTTTCTGTCCTTTAAGTAGGATTCAAACCAATTTCTTCTTATTATAACAAAGACATGTGTTTTTATAAGGAAGTGGGCACCGACCCCACTAGACCCGGAGCAATAACACACAAATACCAGCAAGGATAAAAGCAAATCAAAACACATAATAACTAGGGCCGGGACTCGATTAAAAAAATTAATCTAATTAATTAGAGGCTTTGTAATTAATTAATCGAAATTAATCGCATTTTTAATCACATATACATATTTGACCTGAGAACAGTGAGAAGCAATTTTTTTCACATGGATTTTAGTATACCATTAGGCGCACCGCAGTACTTTTCCCACAAAGGTTCATGAGAATTTAGTTCATGAGAACTCTTTGAACCTGGGGGTGGATTAGGCAAATGAAGCCGCTGACGTCACATCTTCTTCTTCTGCTTTGGGTTTACTGGCAGGTCGCAAACCACTTCACGGCGTATACTGCCGCCCAAAGTCCCCGGCCGGAAGTCCCCGGAGTTGGGGACTGGCTTCAGTAGAAGCTGCTGGGAGTCCCAGCAGCTTCTACTGAAGCCTTCCGAGTAAATCGCCAGAACGCCGACACCTCCTCATCTCCACCGCTCCCATGGTTTATTTTGTGTTGCCATAAATTAGTCTCTCTGCGTTTCTGCGCTGGGCTAATGCTAATAATGCTAATGCGAGGATAATAAAATGGCGGCTTCACAAACTTTGGGGAGTTTTACGGGGCGTGGTTTGCAATCCGCCCAGCCAATCAGACATATAACTCTTTTCTCACAAGAGAGCCGTACGAAAGTCCCTGCTCTCTAGCAGCTCTCTGCTCTCTAGCAGGGACTTTCGTGGGGGGTAAAAAGGTTCTCATGAACTAATTTTAGTACCGGCTCTTTTTGGTGTGAACGCGATAAAAGAGGCTAACGTCCACGCTAGCTTCCACGTTAGCTGCTATATGTTTTGCATTGAGGTGATACTTGAGGCTTGATGTGCTGCGGTGATATGCGAATTCCATTTTGCATAATTTGCACACAACCGTGCTCTTATCGACGCTTCCATCCGTCCGTTTTTTAAAACAACATTTCCCACTGTTGTTCACTGTGGTTTGTTGTTGTCTGAAGTTATGAACGTTAGTTGGTGCTCCAGTATAATCGGTACGCCTGAAACTCATCCAGTGAGAAACGTTCCGCGGTGCAAAAATAAGTGCGATTAAAATGCGTTAATTTTTTTAACGCGTTAATTTTTGTGTAATTAATTAATCTTAATTAACGCGTTAAAGTCCCGGCCCTAATAATAACAAGAGCATTCAACAGCACATTAACACGTCATAGAAATCATTCATTTATTTAAAAGAAAGACTCCCATTGCCAACTTTACAACAAACATGTATTTGTTTAGAATATCTGAAATAGTATAATTCTGAATACAATTGAGAAAAGGGGGTGCGGAGACTTTTTACCTTCTTTGAAGAGAGTGTCTTATTTTCTTGAATTAAAGAAAGTATTGGTCTTCTTCTCAGCAGTTTTGTTGGGGACTATTTTCAGCCAATTATTAAAATCTGTGGCACCAAGGACTTCCTGTACAGAGACACTTGTTTGTAGAGTCAACTCATTGTTGGTTTGGGCTTTTTCGTGGGATTTGCTAACAATAAGACACATTTTTAATATTGCAAGCCTTATCTTATAAGTCAGGAAAGTTGAAAGTTCATTTTATTTTTATTTTTCAAAAGGCATTTCCGTTGTTATCTGATTTGCCTGATGGGTATCAGCCAGGATATGGTTGATCCACATACACATTTTCTTTGTCATTATAAAACTCAGTGTTTCCCGTATATGTTACATTTGTTCATTCACAGTTTTTGGTACCACAGCAACAACTTGCCTTTCCAAATATTGTCACACAGTAAGGTAAATCGAGTATTTTACTTTGGCGAGGGACTGGTATCAGATGTTTATTCTCGGTATTTGCAAATTGAGTCACGGTATCAGAAACTTCAGGTGGACAAAGCCAAATGTGTGCTTCCCCAGTAACCAGCCTGTTTGTGTTACAGGTCTGTACAGCTTAATATTACTTCATTGTTCCAGTTATCATGTAAACAGATAAATCACACCTGATGCACGCGACTTGCAGCAGCAAAGGCTCCGTTCTTCTGCGTCTGTGTCAAAACAAATCATTTTGTGCAACAAAGGATCTCTGTTCTGCAGGTACACCTCACCTTTGTTTTTCAACCCTCATGTTTCGGTAATGAAAGAAACTAAGTTACAGAATCTATCCGTGGGTAGCCTACTTGTGTGTCTCGTGTCTACCAGCCCACACAAAGATCATCTTTACTTTCTGTTGTAAAAACTCTCAATCTTAATTTGTTGGAGGGAAAGAGTCAGTTCATGTTGAGTTCAGAGTTGTCAGAGCGGGAGAAGAGATAAGAGCCTGCATTCATTCGCTGATCTGACAGTCAGCAGCATGCAGATCTCTCTCTACCGGTGGGTCACTGATAAGATCAGACAGAGACACGGATTGCAGGAATCTCTGAGCTAATACTATTAAAGTGGGTTTTTTGTACTGCCATTAAAGACGTTTTGCACATAGCTTCTCCTTTTAAGGACATTTTGTTAGTAACAGTTCACATAAGGAAACACAAAGATTAAAACATGTTAAATGAAGAGCTAATGATTGATAGGTTTCAGGATTTTCCATGCATTATTTGTCTTGAGTTGTTAATCTGGTGTATGATAAATGGATTAGCTGCTCACATTTCTTCTAAGAGATATTTATATCTCAGACTCTCAAAAAGTATGTGGCGTTTTTTCCCCTCCCATTCTCAGAATTGAGTTTCTAATCTGCATTGCTAAATTGCACAAGCCCCCCGCCCAGACATTCCAAAAATAAGGATATCCCCCGCTGTCTCACCCTCGCCACATGTGTCCCAAAAGCACCCTAATGCCCCTGACCAATTCATCTGAAACTGATTTTAAACAGGAACATTTTTTGGGGGGGATTGTCTGCTGGTGAAGAAATGCCTGGCAGATGCCTCTTTTCAGGGTTAAATGACTTCCCACAGTGACTTCACAGCCTCAAGCTTTCACACAGCTGAATGGACTCTGAGTTTCGCTGCACAGAAAAACCGTGGATCACTTACCCTGGCAAGAGAACAACATCAGGGCTTCAGACAAACACCTCAAAGTGGGTCAAGGAAACAT